AAGGTACTTGAAGGACTAAAAAGCAGAGAGAGCTCGGAGCAAAAAAGCAGGTTGCAGAATTTATGTTTGACTAAACAGCTTTTAATTAAGACGTGCGACGAGACGCCTTTTTCAAATTTAAGAGCAAACGGAGCAGTTTACAAAGGCAAATAAATAAATCGTCTCTCTTCGCTCTCGGGGCCGAGTGGCTTGACAAGCGTAAGGAAAAAGAGCCGCGCGCGAGCGAAATAAGAGCGGATTGGAAAATGCAAATTGGTGCTTTGATGTCGCAGCATAGCGAGACTACAAGGAGAGCACAGGTGCTGGAAAACTTCTGTTTATTCATTGACCAGGGGGCGAATCGGCAAGAAAGGAAAAGCTGCTGCTGTTGTGTATTATTTTATATTATTTTTATTTTCGCAGGTTTGATGGGCGGCCGAGCGACTGTGGCTGAATTTCTCGCTCGCCTTTATGTCCACTGACAAAATGAGATACCGAACGCGAGATAAGGACAATAAATAAATAGCACCAGATTGATGCTCCCTAAGAGGTGTAAAGAAATCACGTAATATATGGCGGCAGATCCATCCGCCCGATATAAATAGGCCTGGCCGGTTATGCAAATCAGGCCGCGCGCACTCTTGATTTTTTAAAGACGTCATTTCAAAGCGAAATAATTAAATAATCTGCATTTTAATTTCCATCGGCTCCGGTGTCGAGCAGCTCATTTTCGCAAATTATTTCCTATATGAGGCAGACACTTTATTGAGGCAGCGCGGCTAGAATAACTGCTCGCCTCGTTATTTTTCGCTTTTTCCATGTAATTGGCCACGAGGGAGTGTTCCTATCGCGGCCGTTTGAACTGTCAGCGAATTTTAAACAAGCACCAAAACACACCAAAAGGTAAGGAAATTATGCAAACTTTAAAAAATTTGCAAAAAAAAAACATCATGAAAAGAGATAGGTTGTTTGCATTAAAAAATTATTCTGCAATGATTTTTTTTTTAATAATTTTGCTCTTTTGTGTTTAACTTAAACATATTTCTACCGATTGTGAAAATATTTTGTCAATTAAATAATTTGTGTCATCACTTCAGGTAAAAATATATGCTCGAGTGAGACTTTTATAAAATTGATGAATTAATAATATTCTTAAAAAATGTGATAGTTTAAGAATCAATATTGCTAGTTTTTCAGATTGAAATTATTGTAAATATCATCAAATGAACAAAAAGTAAGCAAATTAAAATTAAAGGACATCTTATCTAAAAATTGATTTAGTTAAAATGGAATAAAGTTATAGGTCACCTTGATTCTGCAGCCAGGATTCAACTTTGAAATTGAAAAAGTATTGGTGCAAATAAATTTTTAGCTTCTAACTGGCTTAAAGCTCTTTGATTCTTCTTGAAAAAATATGTGTTTCTCAAAAGTAGTATCTTCTGCTTGAAAGGTCTGAGTCTGAAATAAATTAGAATACATGGACTAACCACAGCAGATCGAAGCAAATAAAACGTAATTATAGTTTTCAATTTCCATAAAATTATTTTTTGACAATTTATGTGTGCCGCATGCTCACGCAAGCCTTAGGTTTCGACGTAATTGAGCAGCCCGGCCATGGTTTTGGCCGATTTGCATTTAAACATTTCCACGTAAGAGATAAAAAAATTTGAATTTCGATGCGAGAGGCGGCTGATTGATTTGGGTCTGCAGATACATATTATTTAATATATACATAATTTTGAGAGAGACCAGACGCCGGCTATTTTAAGGAAACAAAGCGCTACGATTATCCCTGGAGAGAATAATATAATGAGAGAGATGAATTCCAGTAGCCGATATCCGAGATCACGCAATAATAATCATCATCAGAGCCGGAGAGCAAAGAGATGAAGCAGTGAGAGGAAAATAAAATTCAGTAGCGCAACACCTGCGGTGATTTCTGGCGTTGATCTTTCACGGAATGCCCTTTCCTTGTTGTGCCCATCAGCTACCCACCCTGACTGCCTCGCTTCCCATAATGCAATTAAAAAATACCGCGTCTGTCTTTGCGCCATCATGCAACCGCTCACCCGCCGCGTGATGCTTGCACAGCATCCTCAAGCAGCTCACTCAAAATCAATATTAATTGGCACTAAAAGCACACTTAAAAGTGGTTTTACGGCCAAATTTTCGTATAATGTTCCTTCCTGTGAGCGAAAAGCAGGTAATTGCACCATTGTTGAGACGCTTTACTTTTTTACGACACCGCCTTACTTGCGTTTCTCATCCATCATGTGGATAATGAGAGTCGGTTGCTTCTTAAGTCTTGTTTGTTTTTCGGCGGCAGATAAAACGTTATCAGCCGGCGAATTAGTTAAGAATTTCCTGCCACTTGACGGGTGCGTGGGTCTTTTCTCACCTTCTTGCAGAAAATTATTCATGTTTTTTTTTTAAAGACCAAATATATTCAAAGTTACAATAAATTATTAAAAATGCTTTTAATGGAAAATTTTCATTTTATTTTTATTTTCTAAAACTTACAATTTATTATTTTTTTGTTTTAATTTCATTTGAGTTTAAAAGTACATAAATTTATCTTCTTTTTCCATAATTTCATTAAATGCACGTAATAATGATTTTAAAAATATTATATATAATTTTAATTCAATATCGCTATTTCATTGACATATTAATATACTTCATGGTATATGTAAAAATAATTTGTCTTGAGAGTTATATCCCTGTTTTAAATCCGCCTTGAGTTGATTAACTTTTTGCATTTTAGTTTTCACTAATACATGTAAAAAATTTGAATAAATTTTCATGAATATAATTACAAAAGAATAATAGATCATCATAACTTTATTATACATTTTTTTCACCAGCATTTTTAGCAAACATTTATGTCTGATAAATTTCTTATTAAGATAAATCCGCATCTAAATTTTTCTGTTTCAAGAATTGAATAGCAGATGAAAGCCGTTCCGCGCCTGTATTCATTGCTCGTAAACCGCAATTACGGCGGCTCCAAAATGAATAATTGATTTCAAAGGGCAGATCGTTTTTTCGCTTTCCTGTCCCGGCAAGGAAGGCTAATAGATTGAAAATCTACAATTAAACAAATTTTTTACTCCAAAGCTGTAAAGTTCCATTCACGCTTCGTACTTGCATAATGTGCCGCTTCCTAATTACACATTACTTAGGCGCATTACAAGAAAAGGTACTTCGCGCACAGTAATTATAATTAAAAATATTTTTAGAATGCACGTTTCGCCGCCGATGGCTGCTTCTAAATAAAAAAAGCAGCCGACTCCAAAGTAAATGAGAGGCACGCACTTTGAGATACAACATCGCATGAGCAGCACGCGATGCCGTTTACTCCAAATAATAATCACAATCACCATCGCTCGCCGCGTTTTTCACTGTTTACCCTTGGTGCCATTTGCCCTTTGCGAGCCAAGAAAAAAAAAATTATATTTTTTTCCTGTAATTTGGGGAAGAGCAGAGCTCAGTAATCTGTTTCAAATTATCAAAATAAATAAAAGGAATAGGAGGCAGATTGATTACGAGCCGATGGAGCAAGATGAAGGTTGCTCGGATAATTTTAGTTTCCGTGCTATTACTCATTATTCATCATTTTCTTTTTAATATCATAATTATTCATGATTAAGGTAATAACTTTTTTTTTTTAAGTTATTACCTTAATCATGAAAAATTTAATGATTATTTTTTTTTTGAATTAAAAAAATTAATAATTAGATTAGATTAGAGTGTTTAATAAATACTCTAATCTAATCTAATTATTAATTTTTTTAATTCAAAAAAATAATCATTAAATTTTTCATGATTAAGGTAATAACTTAAAAACTAAAACTAGAAGATTAAAAAAAAATTAAGAATTGCGCGGCTGTGTTTTATTTTGTGATTCTCTCAATCAAGGGCGTTGCAAATTTCTCATAGACTTGTCAAATATCCAGTTCATCAAAGAGCTCTTCTTCTTCTGTCGCGTTTATTTCACTTCGTGCAATCGGTGGAGGCCGACCGCAAAGACTGATTGCAAAAAATGAGACTTGCAGGGCTTAATGCAGTCTCCACGTGAGCATTTCAGCGCAAATCTTGTTGAACAAAAGGCTTCCCCGTTCATTAAGCGTCTCTTCGCCCATTTTAGCCGCGCGGCGTGCTCGCAAATCGAATAAATGTATGCTGACCGCGTTTTGCACCCTCTCTTAATCTCATTGTAAGTAATATGCAAGCGCGTGTGCACTTTTGCACCACAAGTATGCGCGTCAAATGGCGCCTCCACGGGTTTCCTTGGCTGTTATGGAGAAATTTAAGTTATTCTGTTTGCCAAAGAATTGCTGCCAAGAAAGACTATTATGACTGGATCTCAGTAACTTGTAAATTCACTAGAAATTACCAGAGATGCCAATACAAATTTAAATATTTAAAATTTAAAGTGAATTTGAATATGCTAGTATAAGTTTTTTCTTTATATAATTAATTTAAATTCAAAACCCCAAATTTTTATTTAAATCTACCTCCAAAATGTTTTGTCAGATTTTGAGTCTACCAAAATTAAAAACGGCAGCCACCCTATAGACACCTTCATCGACTCTGAAGGGTGGCTCAAGGTGAAATTCCATATTAATGACCACGCACAAGCAAATATTATACGCATCGAGCTGAACAATTAATTATTTTTTTCTTCGGGCCATTGTTAATGGGTTCAATCTGGGCAGGCGTCGGTCCACAAAGAACTCTCTCCCTTCCCGACAGCCTTTGAGAGCGGACGCCTTGAATAGATTAATTATGGTCGAGTTCGATCGCGCGCCAAATAGATGTTTTGACGTGAATGACAAAAACTGCATGATTGCATTAATTATAGGAAGTGTAATTAGCAACGCAAAATGTAAATTGAATAATTGAAAATAATTTTTCGTTTTGTTTTGCATAACAAAAAGGCAATGACCTCATCAAAAATTAAATTTCACTGCTCGGCATATATCAATTGACTTTTGACCTGTGCTCTGGTCGCTGACGCGGGCTGCGAGTCGATTGACAACAGTCATGTGCGAGCTCCACAAAGGCCTCTTTCTCTTGTCATTTCTCACTGTGTCCACGGTAACGAATTTAGTAATTTTCAGTTTTCAGCAACAAACATAATCTTAAATTATTTCAGCTTTCTGTGGCAAAAAGAGAGTTTTACATTGACTATGAAAACGATCAATTTGTAAAAGATGGCGAACCTTTTAAGTACGTCTCGGGTTCATTTCATTACTTTCGTACTCCGTCTGTGTACTGGAGGGACAGGCTGAGAAAAATGAAACAGGCCGGGCTGAACGCCGTCTCTACGTAAAACTTGTCTTTAAATTTATAATAATGTATTATTTATAATAATTAATGTCATAGGTATGTTGAATGGCGCTCGCACGAGACACTGCCTGGGAAATATGATTTTTCTGGAGATTTGGATTTGGAGAATTTTTTAAAAACTGCCCAAGAGGAGGGTCTTTTGGTGCTGCTTAGGCCGGGTCCTTATATTTGCGCTGAAAGGGACTTTGTACATTTGAAAAAGAAAAATTTTCCGTGAAAAATTTTATTTTTTTAACCCATGCAGGGTGGACTTCCTTCATGGCTGATGCATGTTAATCCAAAAATGAAGCTAAGGACCAGGGATGTTTGTGAGATGAAAAATTAAAAACATTGAAATAAATATTTCTGGGTTATTTTCATAGCTTACATGGGCTACGTGAGGCGGTGGTTTACCGTTTTGTTTAGCAGAATTTCACCGTATTTTTATGGTAATGGTGGTCCAATAATTATGGTTCAGGTGACGCTAAATTGCTCAAAATTTCTCATTATATTAATTTGCATCTATTTAAATAAAAGGTTGAAAATGAGTACGGCAGTTATCCTGCCTGTGATTTGGAGTACATCAAAGACCTACGAGATATCCTTCAATGGCACACTGGAAAATCGGCGGTTTTGTATTCTACAGATGGCAATTCAGCGTCATACATGAAGTGCAGCAAAGTTGACGGTGTTTATGCCACAGTCGATTTTGGAACAGGTTTGAACAAAAAAAAATAAATTAAATAGAATCACAAATAAATATTTTAAGGAGCCAACGTGAGTGCCTCATTTCTTGAAATGAAGGTGCACGAACCAACGGGCCCGCTGGTCAACTCAGAATTTTATCCTGGCTGGTTGGACCACTGGGCTGAAAAGCACAATACCGTCAGCACTGTTCACGTTATTCAAACCTTGGAGGAAATGTTCAAATACAACGCCTCAGTAAACTTTTACATGTTTTACGGTGGCACAAACTTTGGTTTCACAGCAGGTTAGAATAAAAAAGATCAATTCGAAGAAGAAGAAAAAATAACTTAAACTCTAATCATTAGGTGCAAATTTTGACGGGTTTTTTTATCCACAATTGACTTCCTACGATTATGATGCACCTCTCACAGAGGCTGGCGATCCCACAGCAAAATACATGGCCATCAGGGCTGCCGTAAATAATGTATAAAATTGTGTTTCCTCTCATATCTTTACTTAAATAATTAAAAATTATAAAATTTAGTATTTGGGCCAACCCCCTTCGAAAGACGTGCCAGTTGTTTCACCAAAAGGCAGTTATGGGAACATTGATTTGAAATATTTGGGAAGCATTTTTGATCTCTGCCCATCAAAAGTACCAATTAAAAGTGAATACCCACTTTCATTTGAACAGCTGATGCAGGTATTGATTTGAAAATAACTTTCAAATATTCATTTTTTACTCAAACTCTTCAGTCCGATGGATACGTTTTATATAAAACTGTGATCACCAAATGCTACGCTGACCCTGCCCAGCTGGTAGCAAAAAATCTCAACGATCGCGGCAACGTTTTTGTCAATAAAGTAATGAAATTTTCGGCAATTTAGCCAAATAAATTATTTTATTTTATTAAATTATTTATTTAATTTTTAATATAGGAACGCGTTGGAATTTTAAGTAGAATAAATGACATCAATTCTATGCCCATATCTGTGCAACCAGGAGACGAGTTGGAAATTCTGGTTGAAAATCAGGGTAGAATTAACTACGGGGGCAAACTGAAAGACTTCAAGGTATAAGGTTATTAAAATTCCTATATTTTATCTCATTTTCTGACAGGGAATGACCGGAAATATCACCATAGAGAAGGACATTTTAAAATTCTGGAGCATGCTGCAATTCCCGTTCCAAAGCTACGGTGACGATTTAGATGCGATTTACAAGGCGATAGAAACCCATAATTCAGTTTCTGCTACATCAAAAAATTTGCCTTCGATTTTCTGGGCAGATTTTCAAATTCAAAACACCACACAAATAAGGGACACTTTCTTAGATACTAAAGGATGGTCCAAGGTAAGATTTCAAAATTTTGCCCTTGAAAATAAATGAAAACTAAACATGTTTTTAGGGCATCGCATTCATTAATGGATTTAATTTGGGTCGTTTTTGGCCGAGAGTTGGACCACAACGGACTCTTTACCTGCCAGGAAATCTTCTGAATGCAAATTCAGTCAACCGACTGGTGATAATCGAGTTCGACCGTGTGCCACCTGGTTGCATTGATAAAGAGCTGAACAAAGGCTGCTTCGTCTCATTAAGAGATGAGCCAGTTCTTAATGCGCTTTGCCAGAGCAACGAAGTTAAATGAACAGCGCACGCTTTCCACGAGACCCTTAAATTTCATTGCCTATTAACGCACAAAATAAATCGGATCAGGCTGATATCAGCCGTGATGAAAAATGCATCTCTTTTTTTCCACTTAAGGAAGGCGGCGGCTTTCATAAAAATGAGAAAAGAAATACGACCGACAGGAATTTCTGCTCCGCATTTGATATTTTTGAATTAGTCGGAGATAACAAACAGAGAAGCAACCCGATCCTTTTAAATTTTATTTACATCATCAGCGCAGCGCCTAATCAGTCGGGTCAGGTGCATCGGAAAATAAAGCATTGCGAGCAGGGTCAGGTGCGCGCGGATAGTTTTGTTAAGCGGCGGGTCTCTCTATTCAGGTTCAGAAGAATGAGAACGGAAATACCAGAAAAATACATATTTAAAAATTAATTTAAGAAAACTATTATTTGTATTATTACATTAAAATAATTTTTAGGTTTTGAAAAAAAAACTATTGAAAAAAACTGATTTTTATCTTTTTGTCTTTTATAACTAAAAATATTAAAAACTATAAATACCATTTTATTTTAAAAGACAAACGCCAGAGATGTAAATTGTAATTTTGATATATTTGTTAAATAAAAATTCACTGTTTCTTACGTAAGTTACATTTGCTTACTCTGCAGGGAATTTATATCTGAGTAGCACATGTTATTAACTTTTATCAATTTTAAAATATTATAAAAACTATTTTCTATTCTAAAATATCATTTTTGTTTCGATAGAAAATCCGCTCCCGGCGCAGCAAGCTGCGTCAGCTTGGGGAGGGCAGGTGAAACAAAAATAAAGACCTGACATTGTTAACAAGCAAACCGCTCTCCGCAGTAGTCTCGCCCTTTCCAGGGTGTGAGTAAAATTTATTGCCCCCGCGTGCGAAGGCGCTAATCAATTATCACCGCGCCTCTCTGTTTGCTTTCGGTCGTCGCGCGTATCGAAAAGCGGTCGGCGGAAAGAGTCTCTCTTTTTCTCTTCCTGTGAATAATGAGGCGCGACTCTTAAGGCTTCTTAATCGCATTAGATGAGCCACAGCAGATTCTAATGCGACAGAGTGCACTCTCTCAATTCTACCCCGAGTGAGATGCGTGGCTACTTTTATATATTCAAGTCCACTGACTTGAGAGTATTTTTTGAATTTCCGAAGTCACCAGACACCCCTGCTAGATCTCTACTTTATTCTGAGACGCCGCCGCGCTAAGCTTTTTGAAATACACTCCGGACATTAAAGTGATCGCTTCCTTTTGGTAAAATCAGCGTCTACAAACATTTGATCCTATTGAACGTGGGTCTAAGTTTTTCAAAAACTTTTCCAGCAAAACATGAAGACGTTTCCCAGCTCAAGACTTTAGGTCCAATTATTTTTACTAATTTGATTTGTTAGCATCTTCAGGCTTGGGAAATAACAATTGCTTGAGGTATAACCTTTCATACTTTAAATATAGAGCAGTTTTTAAAATTTGATTTTAAATACTTAGATATTTAATTCAGAGTCAACAAAATCTCAATACAATGTAAAAAGTAAATAATTTTATTAAAAGTAAAAAATTCATACTAATTTTAACATACAAAAATTTTCTTCTCTATTTTTAAATTTTTTTTAATATTTAAATATAATATTACTAAACGTAATCAACTAGAAATATGATATTAAAGTTAAATTACATTACAAAAAGCATTTTAGATATAAATAGATATAAAAATAAAATAAATAATAATTAACATTGTACATCTATCAATTTAAAAAATTTAAATACACAAGTTAAAACATAATTTTGAATAAATCAAAATTGCATTTATACTAGAATTAAAATAACATAAAAATTCTTGTAAAACTTGAAGTCAAGTAATTTAAAAATCGTAACCAAATAACTATAAACAAGGATCAAAGTGAGTTGCTTATTTATTTTACGACTGAAGTTTTGTTGAGTTCAGGTAAAACCGGCGAGTTTACAGAAGACTTGACACAAATTCAGGATGTATTTAAGGGGGGTATTTGGTCTCACTTGTGCCTCGTTACCTGTCTGCTCTGCCAAGGAAAATCACGGTGCGTACATATACTTCATGTGGACCATCTGGACAGTGCCGATGAAGTTGAATTTTTAGCCCCCAAAATTATTCACGCCGCTCACACGCAGGAAGGACTTCGTTTTCGACTTATTACAAGCACACAGCATCAAATTGACTCGTTCATGTGCACCGACCAAAAATATATAAGCAAAAATAATAAAAAGCCACCAGCGGAGAGCAGCTAGGAGGAGAAAAAGTGGTGCTGCCGACGAATATCAAATAACCGCCGTAAACAATCAACTGCTCCTCGAGCAATGAGTAGGAAGGAACTCGCTTAATATATTAAGGGAGAGCGATAATTTTTCTCTCGGCATAATCAGTCGGATCGATGCCCAAAGTTCTGAGCAATCGACCCTAAGCGAGCCTCAATCAGGCAGGACCTGAGGTGAAAAAAGGGTTTCCCTAGGCCGGCTAGGATGACTGACTCGAGGTGACAGAGGCTGCTGAACGCACAACTCACGCAGTAGCGACCTTACCTTACATTAGACAGCGGCCCCTCAAAGTAACCTGATAGCCCACCAAGCATCTCGCCTTTTTCGTATAGTTTCCACTCGAGTATAAGTCCCGCGTGCCCTGTAATATCGCGTATGTGGGGTACGGAGCCGTAAAGTGCGATCATGACGCTAATGAGAGTAATTAAACAGCTTGCAATGGCAACTTTGTATTCAACTTTATATTAAGTTACCCCCAGTCGTCGCCGCTTTAATTTCATCCGACCTGACACCGCAGCCATCATGGACCCATTTTTTAATTTTTCTGCGTCGCCACCAATTTAACGAGGAACCGCCGATTCTTTTGACAAGACCGTTGGCCAAACCGTTCTTCATTTTCCATAAAAGATTAGGATTTTTGTGACTACGTTGGTGCTTTAAAATTGATATAGTGTTTGTAAAAAAATTAAATAATAATTATTGATAATTAAGTGGTCAAATTTTTTAACAGGAAAAAGTAATAAATAAATAAATTAATCTCATTTGTAAATTAATTATTTATTGTTCACAAAATCCAATCCTTTAGAATAATTGCCAAATTAGGCAATGTTCAATTTTAACTTAAATCATATTTAACTGAGTGCTTGGTCAGTGGTGGATTAAAGCGCGTCCACGTTCAAGGATGAATTCCTTTCCGTGCAATCATCATAATTGGGCCATTTGTGCTGCGCAATAATTATCGCCGCTGTAAAACGCGAGCGTGACTCCGCGCGCGGAGGAAATCATACATTCGTGAAACATTTATTTATCATTTTGTGTCCGCTTGCGTTCGTATTTATTTAAACTTTGCTAACCATAAAGAGAAGAAAAGAAACAGAGGAAGGAGTGGGAAACGATCTGCCAGAAGAGCAACGAATCAAACTTTATTGAACAGAGAAATTACAAAAATATTGCATTATGAAAATTGCTAATTAATGCAATTATTTATATAAAATATATTTATTTTGTTGAATGAAACTTTGATTATCGAAAAAAATCCTGGAATATGAAAGTAAAATTCCATAGTCGCTATTTGCAATTCCTTTAAAATTAATATTGTCATTTAATCTTCAATAACAGCTAGCCAGAGATTATTTTAAAATTATTTTTGATTTAGTACTGGAAAGAATTTACGATTTTAGAAACAAATTGTGTGTTTTTTTAGTTATTCCTTTATGTAATTTGAATTTTGTGTAAAATTTTTCATTCTATTAGTTTTCGAGAACTATAAATAAAACTTCAGTATACCAAACTATATCAACTACAATTCTGCACAAATATTTCTTCCCGAAACCTGAAACAAATTATTTAATTGATTATGGAAAAAATATGCAGTATTTCCATATCTATAAAACTAAATAACATCAAAGCGATTGTCCTTTAAAAAAATTAGACTCGTACACTAATTCTTTAATCTCCAACCTCGAATGCGAATTAAAAATGTTTTGTCAAGCTTTTCATTATTTATTTTATTAAGTAAGACCAATTAGAGCGGCCTCCTAGAACGAGAGGAGTGCATCTCACTGAATTCAGGCATTTATCTCTCCTCTCTGCTCGCTCGTCTCATCTTTCACACTTGGATTTGCGAATGAAATAAAAGCTGTGTAAATGTTTACACACGGGTTCAGACGAGGTCGTTTTGTTATTGCCTGACTGCGAGTTGAGAGAGAGAGATGATTGCCCGTCATTATATACGGCAGGCCCATTAAGGGTGTGAACCTGGCCAGATCTTCTGTGGTCACCCGCCAAGGAGCCGCATTCAGGATCAAATTCGCAAACAAATGCACAAAGAGAAAAAATCAACCGAGCACTTGACAAGTTTTTATTCCAAACCTCGTCCGCCGAGGGGCTCATTTGGGGGTGGTTCGTCCCGAAACGGTTAAAAGAAAAACCCTTTCAGCTTTTCAATTCATCCTCGGTGGATAGGGAGTGGACGGACTGATGAGATCACGTAGCGTGGTTGCGCGATGATTGACCAGCTCCAAAACCAACAATTTGAGAAAATGTACACAGATCATGTTTAAGCACAAACTGCATGTCGGAGCTGTAAAAATCGATTGGGTGTTACTCAAACAATCCGACACCACGAGCGCGCCGAACAGCAATCACGCGTAATTTTTATCCGCAGCATGCGCGAGGTGAATCGTGACGTCAGTGTAATTTGGCCCATCATCAATACCTGTCTTGTTGTAAAATGCGCACAGCCCGTAGTTTGCCCACAAAGGAAAATGCCAATCGCAGCCGCCGCAAAAAATCTACAGACACGCAGCAGTTGTACGATTTTTTTCTAAACAACAAATAGCATTGAAAAAAGGGGATATTTAATAAAAAATTTATTATACTAATGCCAGGTACACAAACAGAGAAAATAATTAATTTTACCATCAAATGAAATCAGTTTATCAGGGAAAATTTTATTTGTTCTGTCAGCGATATGACGAAAGGAATTTGAAAGTTTTATTTTGAAATAATCTGCTGATTCGCTCAACATCAAAACCTACAACATCAGTTAAAAATTGATGGCACAGATATGTTTGTCTAAATATAATCTCTAAAACTAATTTTTGGCATTAAAAATGATACAGACAATTATTATTGCCCATCATTGATATGAAGCCATTTTTGAAAATTTTGTTACATAAATTGT